GAGCGCCGGTGCTGCCAGGTGCTGTGCACGTCCTGGGAAGGCCTCGAGGCCTCCTGGCTCTCTAGGCTGAGGCATGAGAGGGGGAGGAGGCGTCCTGGCACCTGACAGCCAAAACCTGAGCTGGCCCTGGGCTACTGATAGCCCCTTTGTGGGACTCGGGGCCTGGGCAGGGGCTGTGGGCTGGCTTTGGCCCCCGTGATGCCCCACAGAGAGAGTTCTGCTGGGGACAGGCAGGTTTAACCCGCTGCTGAGGGGAAGGGGTCTGTCCTCGCCCCTCGGGGCCGTACGGTATCTGTTAGGGGTCTAGTCCTGAAGGAGCAGTCCCGTTTGGACGGGATCCCCTTCAGCACAGGGTCTGGGTTGGGCTCCAGGTATCGTTGTGCTCCTCGGGAGCCCCGCTTGCTGCAAGGGCTCTTGGTGTAATCTTTGCCTGAGGTGTGTTTGCGAGGTCATTTCTCACATGCAGGAGAACAGCAGCAGGCTGGCCTTGTAGAAAAGCTTTTTGCAAATTGCTGCTGAGCCTGAACGGCATCCTGCTGGGAAGGTATTGGTCAGCAAAGCCCCTCCAGGCTCCCTCCTTGACCTACAAGACCTGCACATGGGCTCTGTTAGCCCCACACTCCCTGGGTGAAGTAACAGGGGTTGGACCACAGCCTTTTCAGGGGTCTTTGCAGATCAGGACCTGTGCTTTCTACTGTCACAAATGAATTTGCGGATGCTCCCAACAAACACAGCCATAATCCACGTTAGGTGCCAAAAAACATCTTTATTAGCAAAGTGTACACTAAAACTCCAGAGAAAGAGATGCTCACAGTTTTACTACTCTCAAAGGGAGCTCGATACATTACTTGAGCAGGCGGCCTAGGACTGTCACAGCATCTAACCGAACGGCAAGGCGGCAGTGCTAAGTGGGCTTCTCCTAGGGAGGATGCTGCGGGGGAGAAGGCTGGGGAGGAGGAAGCACCTATCAAACCTTTATCAAAAGACAGAAGCTGGGAGGAAGGGCTGGGGATGAGGTGTCTGGGGCTTTTCAGCTTTCAGGGATTGTGCTTTTGAGTTTTGTGCTTTATGCCCAGGACAGTGACCAGTTGGGTTTATCTGGGGAGCTGTGGGATGCGTGTTGGGATTTGCAAGGCACGAGCAGCCTTGCTGGAGAAGTCAGTGCCCTAGGACTCGTGCTGAAGCATGCTGAAGTGGTGGGGGCTGTTGGCCTGTAGTTTCTCAGTGGCAATCAAGTAGGACAAGGATAGCTTCTGTCCTCTGTCCTTGTCTTGGGCTTCCCACCTGCAGCTCCCTCCATGCCGCACTGTGGAGATCTCCTCCTCCTCTGGTGACTACCCTTTCTGTAATGCCCACTGGCTCCACTGGGCTAAGCCCAGTACCAACGCAATGGTCCCTGCTCCAAAGAGCTGACAGCAAAGTGGCCTCGCAGCTACGAGCCGTGGATTTGCTCTCCTCCGGTCGCTGCGGCTCACTTGGCTTGCGCTGTTCTCGAGAGGAAGCCTTGGCAAGGAAGAGGCAGTGGGTACCGTTTGGCGAGCCAGCTTGTTGGTGGCCATAAGAAAGAACTGCTCTGGGTTCGCTATAATGTGCAAATGAAATCTACTCTATGGGAACCGCTGGAAAATGTTGACCTTGGAAGCCAGCCACTCTACGCTTCCTTTCACGGTGGCAGAAGACAGCTACAAATTATACCCCTGAGCCAATGGCATTGTCCTCCGTCTTACCCTTGCAGTCAAAATCAACATCAACTGACCGAGCTCGCAGTTGAGGTTCCTCTTGACTTTCTTCGCAGCCCCCACATCTCTAACTTCCAGGAAGCACTGGGTCGGAGAGATGTCTCTGAATGTCCTGGTGCTCGGAAGATGCCTCCAAGTGCTCAGGGAGGGAAGGGAAACGAGAGCCCCGGCAGAGTCCCTGGGTATTTGGTGCCCTTTGGTGGGGAGGCTCTGGGTTTGGGGGAGGTGGGGAATGGTGCTCCTGCTCGGAGTAGACTGTCATGGTTTCGTCGGATGCCACAGCGAGGTGCATTCCACTTGATGAGGAGTCCCTGGATTTCAAGTGGAACTTTTCTACCTCCGTGTAGCTCGGGCTCTGGTGGGAAAGGAGGAACCAGGTGGGTTATGGCAAAAGCAAAACAAATTAGCCACGCTCTCTCCTCACCACATCAGGCTTTGAGCCCCAAAATGTTATTTTTTTGCCTGAGGAAGCCTTAGACCAGAGAAGCCCACTCCCCTCCCTACTGCCCAGCCAACCTGGTAGTGCTGGAGGTGGCAGGCTGTGCCCCAAAATCAGTGATGCACGGGGCAGAAGCATCTCCAGGTAGATCTACTCCCATTTCAAGACCCCTGGGCTCCGTCTGGCCCCACGAGCGCTGGGCTGGGCTTTGCACGGCGGGAGGCTGAGGGAACCACTGGCCCTCCAGGACCTGTCTGCTCGGGGCAGGAGGAAGCTCGGCTGGTGCT